GACGCTGGGAGGCGGACTAGTATCGATCCACGCAATCCCCTTACTGTTACGAGGCCTTTGCAGGACATGCCCCCTATCTGAGTTCTTGGCTGACACGCTGAAATCCTACTACACGCGATCCTTTGGGCAACTGAAATGTATCGCCGTTATGGAAAACAGTCGCTGAGATGGTAACACAGAGCTGGCGAGCCGCGCTGAAGAAAATTACGTGAGCCACGAGCTGCTCGAATCATGGTTCTTAAGCCCTCAATCCATCAACCAGTGCAATGACCACCCGCTACCATATTCACCGCTGGGGGGTCGTAATTGATGCGATTATGGCTTGCCAGACGGTGTGCGAGTCGTTAATGGCCGCGATTTCGTCATCCGTGTTGGATGCTGGCGTGACGATTGCTCGGCAGTTTGGTCCGCTGTCACCAGGATAGTCGAGCGCCCGCGCCCTTCCCACGTGACTGATTCGCCTGCTCAGAGAATGTCTCAGCACTGAATATGGTACCGGGAGGTCATCGCACTCGTTGATGGATTGCGGGCCATGTTGAAACCTTACTACTTGTGGTCCTTTGGACAAGTGAAATGTATCGCCGTTATGGAAAACGGTCGCTGAAATGGTTATTCCGAATTCACCATCTATCGCCAGTTAGTCGTACTTCAACCTAGGGCTCGGATGGCCTGGAATCAGGTCCAGTTAATAATAGATTTAAATTATTTGTTCCATGCTCTGTCAGATGCGATTTGGAGTGCTGCAGGTACCGTGACCGTGGCGCTCATCCACTTTGCTAGATTTGATAGTAGACTGCGGTTTTGTAGATCCGTCCCGGTGTCTTGGCGGGCGGTCACTTATCGCCGAGCGAATAGTGATCGAAGCCAAGGCAGACTGCGGTGTCTGTCGTGGAAGGGCGTTCACTGTTCAGGGTACGAAATATACTCGTACAATTGCGCATTGACTGGTTGACGACGGCTAATAAGCCGGTCTGGCCACCCCATCCTCCGTTGTCTTTACGGACACTCACTCCTGGACCACTACTAGTCGCCATGCGACTGTCTGCGGCAGCCTTAGATTGAGACCTAGAACGCATCTGGGCGCACATGTCCCATAACCTGATCAATAAACGCCCTTCCTACAGTAGTTATTCAACCTGGTCGCAGTGGACAGGACCACGGTCCTGCGGCTTATTTGTAGGTCTTCGGACTGAGCGCTTAGTGAACAGAGCCTGGATTCGAAATTCGGGTTATCCAAACCTAAGGGCCGGGCGTAAGGTGACTGACGACGGTTAATTTGTCAGAAACGGCCTTGTCGGCACCCCTTCCCACTATATCTATTTTCGTCGTCTGTTCCGGCGGGGAAGAACTGCGGGCTGGAACAGGGTCCTATGCCAGGACTGGGTGTACTGCCGTTGACCACGGAGATAGGTACCCCCGTATGACAGAGGTCTTGCAGCAAATTCCAGAGTCACTTGTCCCTAACCCCTTGGAATTTACCGCAAGACCTGTAATACGGGGGGTGAGTGCATATCTGCATGTACCCGCACCGCAATCAGACCAGTTCGACAGACGCCTTCCTTACGTAACTTTGTGCTTTAGCCTTACGAGCAATCTAAGGCAGTGATGACGTTGTGAAATTGGACCCTGTATCGGAAGAGTGAGCCTTGACAAATCTAAAGGTCTTTTCGGCAAGTGAGCCGTAGAAGGAAAAGTACAGGTGTCTTAGTTCGCCTGCCCGTGAATGCTGTGTCTCATTACTGTTTCACGCGGGCTGACCCCCAACAAGGTCCCTTGGACCTCTTCGACAACTAGTGTCTTATCGCTCACTTCTTTCGGCAGTTTCTTTCGCGGCTGAATTTCCAAAGGTTCTTTTTAGTGGTTCTTCTACTAGCCTTAATTGGTATATGCCTCTAAATGGGTTCATAATCCCAGTTGCAGGTAGGAGGCATAAGTAAGCATGTATCCAGCTTCCTGGATTCACTCTCAGCTTGCTCCTGTTGATGTCCGCTTAAGTCACCCTCGCATTGCTCTAATTCTTTGTATATCTTAGTCGAAATGCTTGAGACTTTTCACTCTTTCTCTCTCGGTACCCGCATGAGCCTTGCGAGCGCCAACTGGGCAGTATGCGGGCTCTTTACTCAGGTCGACTCTCGGTCTGCACCGATGCACAGCCGGACTAGGTCGATTTTTGACGCTGTAAAAGCACAAATTGCCAAGGTTTAGGCAGTATTTGCTTAGATAAGAAAGGTATCGGCGATTTTCTTCATTCTAGGAGGTCTCCTTTTCGCTCCTTTCCTTTGATCGCAGTACGCAGTGGCCCTGCGCTCCGGGACCCAGAACTCGTCCTTGGAAGTTGACAATAGCCTTTTCCTTCGGCGAATCCGCAATTATGATTGCAAGTAGCTAAAAAAAGTTAAAAATAAGTACTCGGGACAAGAAAACAAAGAAAACTAAGTTACACCTCAAACCTGGCCAGTACAGGCGAAAAAAGCGAGGTCGAGGCAATATAGTTGAGAGGAGGGAGAACCGACTGCTGGGACAAATGTTTTATTCGTCTGTTATTTCACATTCACTCACCCACCAGTAGGTAAGAATAGTGAACACGAGACTGTGCACCTAGAATTAGCCATTGCAAATAAGCAACCAAATGTTTGTTTAGAATGGTGGGAGGAATAGTCACTCAGAGCTCTTTTTCGAATATCTTCTGTTCATTAGAATGATTTGAAACTCATTCAGTGCGCTGTCCATTCGAGTCTATATTCGATCTTAGTTCAATCGGCAGTTGGACAGTTCAGCTTTTTGAGGTCTCCCGAGGGAGGGCGGAGTATCCCGACGGACATTAAGCTTACAACAATGACGAAAAGGCCATCCTCCTTAGCCTCATTAACTATGTGGCCAAACGTATCATTTCGATTTTGGACGCATTTACCATCTCGTGCGAGACTGACGTTGGTCAACAGTGAGGAGGCATGAAGCGGAGGACCTGATGTGTAAAACGCTCATCTTTCAGAGCAGAAGTTCTAACCCAGTAGTCCGTGGGATAAGGCGCATCCCTGGTTTTTGCGTATTTTTCTTCATGCCTGGAATTTGCAGTCGCATCCTTTACTTCAGGATTATTTGTGATCCCCCTACAGCAGAAGGGATTTTTGTTCGGCCTCTCGTCATGTTTACCACGGTCGCCTCGCCGACCGTTCCCGCCTTTTCCTGTTTAGACCATACTTATTTTAGCTTCTCCCCAAATTGGAGTCTCTTCTAGCCTTCTCGACTTTAAACGCACTTTGGGATTCAATAGCAGTAGCATACTGTTTCGTCAAGAAGTGCAATTTGGTAAGTGGGCCATAAGTCAAACGCTCTACCCTCTAGCCGTGGGCGAGCAGTCCACTCTCAAACCCCCCATGCTCTGTACTGAAATCAGGATCAACCAGTGAACACCATTTCCGCACGATGCGATGTTCCCAATCACATGTGAGTAAAGAGACTGTTATCCGGAGAGCGATACGCTAAGGTCACAGTGACAATGCCGGGTTTGTTCATTGTCACCCTCTAGGCCAACCCTAACCGCAGATCAGTGGGAACTGGGATTCAATTCGGGGTTACTATCTTGAATCTGGATGCTCAACCAATGACTCACAAGTCATCGAGCCAGAAATGATCATTCAACACCACCGTATTTGTTGACACCCCCTAAGCTGTCTCGAAATCAGGCCAGACGAGTAGGCGTCCTTCTCATGTCACTGCGGCTACCTTACTCGGGGTTATACGGATTCGTCGAAGTAGACGTTCAAGTTGCGACAACTTCACTTCCTGTGCAAGGGTTATTTGCTCTCATAGGGCTGTTCTGCATTGTGCTAATGCACTGTTGCTGTGACCGGTGGTGGTTCGATGGTATTTAGTAGACTACCTGGAAGGATTCATTGACGTGCGTATAACAGCCAGTATTTACCGGGAGTGTCTTTTTCCGAGTCGTGTCATTTCTATTTTGACCGATAAATCCTGCATAACAAGAGAAAATGAACAGCCAAGTCTCCATACAAAGGGAGTCGGATATGGCAGCGCCTCCTTTCTTTCCATGCACACTCGCGCCTTAGGATCCGTAAAGTGTGTGAATAAAAGCTGGGAATGCTCAAAAAGACAGTCAACGAAGCGTGGTGCAAACACTGCGAACACTGCTAGATAGTCTCACGCCCTGCTGTTGTAAAAAGTGTCGTTCTACGTTAAAATGAACTCTGATCCGCCGCTAGGCAATCGCAGAAAAACATCAAACACTCTTCAATCAATGCACTCCAACTTACTGCAAAATCTACTAAGTACTTTTGGACCTCTGGAGGTTAATATACAGTAGATGTGCTAACTCATAAAATGTCAACCAAAATTTCGAAATGCGTTCTCGTTTCGAAAAGATAAATTTAGTAGTGTTGTAAAACTAATCATGATGCAGCATAAATCTATAATGATCCAGTTACCTCAGGGTGTCGGCTTTCGAAAGAACTTATTTTCGACTGCATGCAAGATCTATACTCTGCAAAAAATGACTACTTATGTAGTATGCAATTTTCTCATTGATTTCGATGCCCTTGAAAATTCAATTATATGTCATAGAAAACATGCATAAAAATATTCATTCTTTTACTTATTCGGTAGAAAATCACGTCCTCTTCCAATTTTATACTCAAAAGAAGAGTATAATTCGGTTTTTAAAAAGTTTCTTATTGTGAGATTTTTTAATACCGTTTCATGGCCGTTCATAAAACGTCATGTATCTGCATTTACGAATGTGGCTTGTAAAGTTAACAATATTGCATGTATTTCTCTACGGTGTTAAGAGGAGACCATATGAGGTTCATAGAATTAAGCAGTGAATTTGAGCAATATTGTTAACTTTACAAGCCACATTCGTAAATACAGATACATGACGTTTCATGAACGGCCATTTAACGGTATTAAAAAATCTCACAATAAGAAACTTTTTAAAAACCGAATTATACTCTTCTTTTGAGTATAAAATTGGAAGAGGACGTGATTTTCTACCGAATAAGTAAAAGAATGAATATTTTTATGCATGTTTTCTATGACATATAATTGAATTTTCAAGGGCATCGAAATCAATGAGAAAATTGCATACTACATAAGTAGTCATTTTTTGCAGAGTATAGATCTTGCATGCAGTCGAAAATAAGTTCTTTCGAAAGCCGACACCCTGAGGTAACTGGATCATTATAGATTTATGCTGCATCATGATTAGTTTTACAACACTACTAAATTTATCTTTTCGAAACGAGAACGCATTTCGAAATTTTGGTTGACATTTCATGAGTTAGCACATCTACTGTAGCGTTGCGAAAATTTCCATTAAAGAATTTAAAAGACAAATCGACAAGCATACGTAAGCTTTCGATAAATTCTCATCAGGTCTATATATGTATATTGCTATCGACATTATTAGAAGGAGAATGCGGGCAAGCAGAAGTTATTCTGTATCTGGGGTTTGAGGGGGGGGGGAGGGTCAGAGTGGGTTAGGTGAAAAACAAAGTTACCGTCAGTGTCAGGGGGAGAAGGGGGTGGCGGACACTGGGACGGGGTAGTTATACGCAGGTGGTTAGCATGGTGGCTTTGGCCCATGGTAACTATGGGGCTTGTGCGAAGTTCTTTTTTGCGCATAGAACTGGTTTTTATAGCCTGATTGCAGTCGCCTCTACAGTTGCCAACAGACACTGTCCAAGTGATTTTGGATAGCTTGACGTGACCTTGTAAATCACTCGGAATGCCTGTCCGGCATCTGCACAGTGATCTGTGTCTACCATGCGGGCGAGGATAGAGCTGTTGACGTTCTTTATTTAGCCCTTTCCTAACCATGCCGGAAGGTGTTCTCTTATTCTTTTGGACATACGCCGGCTTGATGAAGGGGAGCGCGGTTGATTACTATGGGTATGCGGTAGCATAGCAACTGCGTCCTGTGCACGAATCACTCGTTTTCGCCACTGTCTCTGATGATGGGTTCAGATGAAAATCCAAAACTTCAGGCGAATAAAGGCCTTGTTCCAGCGATCGCTTCTTCTTCTTCTTCTTCTTCTTCTTCTTCTTCTTCTTCTTCTTATCAACAGCCCTTTTGTCCTTGTCAGTCAATCGCTCACTATGTGTCTCCTCAAATACGAAACAGAAAGTCTAAACTCCATGCGGAATTCGTCTTATATCATTGGGTAGGACATGGGGATAAAGACCCCCCGTAATGCAGGTGCCTCCGCGCCAACTTCCAGGATGTGTACCTAATCCCATGCTCAAATCCTAACATTAACTCCGAGCATAATTCTGCGCAAATCACAACCCTGAGCCTCAACCTAATCCAGAGCATAATCTAAGCCTTAGCTCTGACTCTAATCTCCCCGAAATTTACACCAAGCTCACCCAGGGGTTTCTATTCCCTTATCCTGCCGACTACTGAAGGTCGCTTCCATAGGACGCGGAGCACTTCCATTCGTAGCCAAAAGAGCCCAAAATTATGGTGCGGCTGTTAGAGCGACAAATTATGTGACCAACCGGACCGGGACTTGAACTTTACAGATTCCCAATTAGGCGGGAATTTGTGTTTGGCTGGCCAACAATGACGAAAAATCTGGAAACAACCACTCTATTCCCCTTAGTCATTTAAGGTAATATTTCGTTATAATAAGGGAGTAGGGGGGGGGAATAGAACGGAAGTGAAGTGCTACTTGTTTTCGAACAACACAATTCTACACTTCATGCACCCATGATAGTAACTGCAGTTGGTGCGCTCCGATCGAAGTTAGGAGTCCAGACAGATTTGTGAGTTCGAACTGACTAGTCGCTTTTTCGCTGCCTACCATAAACGTATCAGACTTCTTACCTGTGATCCAGTGTGCACGCTCTCAACAATGTACTCCAGCGCGCCAGCGATGGGTTCGCGAGGCCCAAGAAATGGGTTGGTCTTCACTAGGAGGCCGGGCCCGAAATGGGCGTTGACGCCACCGCCGAGGTGAATTTGAAAGCAGTCATTCATGGGAGCGGCCTTAAAAGAAACCAGGTGACTGTTTCGGTGCAGGCAGACCAATGTAGAAAGAATGATTAGAAGAAGTGAAATAGCGGCTACCTTCTTCGTGGTTATTTTCTTGCTGTTTGCCTTAATTGCAAAAAATCGGGCTTCCGGTAGCGACAGGGTCCACAATGCAAAGTCCTCTTTGGGCATTTGATGTTTAGCTTCTGAGTTTACGGTGACGAGGGAGCCCTAAAACGGCCGTGCAGTTTGCAGCAATTAGGTAGGTTCTTCGGAAGCCAAACAACCTGTGAACCAAAAATGGATTCAGTGAAACAATAATGCTTGTAAGGCCGGACGCACTCTGGATGTGATCCATCTGGCCAGGTAGTACTCCACGTCGTCACAGTCAAAGACCTCACGATAGATATGTTCCACTGCCAACATAACCTTCGATTCCGACAGTCTTGCCGAAATTGTTAGGTTGTATGATATTGCCTAAAATTAGGAAGAAAGTTGTACAATAGACGCCAATAAAAGAACACATACTGAGGAAACAAGACGTTGCTTTGGTGGACATACTTGTTGCAACTGGAGTCGGCTGTTGAATCCAAAAGCGCGAAGGACAGGCCATAAGGCCTGGATATCACCTCCCTTGTTGTCTGTTTGTTCCAGATGGAACTGATAGAAATCCTCAAGCGTAATTTCTTCATTGTTTCCACCCCTGGCTTCTGGAGAAGACACAGACTTACCCAGCAGGTGAAAAATATCGATATAAGCGTGTATTTTAGGATCACAAAGATCGTCATCTTGCTTAGAGATAGGTTTTAAACGCCACATGTATGTACGGCATTCTAAGTCCCTCTCAAGCAAAGGGACATCGTCTAAGCTAATCGATTCCGACATGCAAAAGTTGGCTTCCGGGATCACGACTTATGGAAGACTACCTGACGTTTAGCTATGCGGGAAATCAGACAAAGATTATAGATCGCCGACCAAAATAGCAGCAAAGGAGAACAACGAACGGATGGCGTCTGGAATTGCTCTTTTGCCACAGAGTACGGTTGAACATGCGACATAAACTCGACAGATATATGGTCACAGAGCAAGGATACTTGATTAGCTGGAAGCCGACTAATTTCAGATGCGCAGTTTTATGAAGCCTAAGATGCAGGTATTAGTTGGGCCAATCTAAGGTTAATAAAAGACGGTATAACTCGATAGGATCATGATCGCAATAGGGGAGGGGGGCACAAGGGACCTGGGTACATGACAGCACGCTTGATTTAACGGCCAAAAGTACGGTCCCAAGCAACAGTGCTCGTACTCTCGGATTGAGGTAATGACTGTTGAACGAATGCAA